TCCTTTGTATTATGTGTGCTGCCCTGTTTTGTAGACGTTGCAAACTGTTACTGCATCCGATTGACAGCCCACCCCATACCGTATCAGTGTCATCAAACATCGGCTTTATTAAACAATTATACACGCATTTAGCAGCTTTTCGGGTAAGGAAAGGGCGTATGCGGGACAGCAGGCCAAGATGTTTGCTCATTTTGTTACAAATCATTAGAAAACAGCCCTAAGAAAATACGCGTGCTGATTGGTTAAAAATCGTGTTTCTATTGAGCAATTAGATTATTCGCTCTCGATTTCTATCGCGTGATAGTTGACGAGGGCGATCCCCGAGTCAACTATCACTCATAGAAATCGAGAGCGAATAATCTAATTGTTTTAGTATAAATCTACTAGTCGTTCAAAACTTCATTTAAATCCTCTTCATAGAAAATTTGAAAATGCCAAGAAGCGGCCGTCATTTTGTTAACAAGGGCACACTGCTATGCTACTCACTATCTATCACAGAATAGCTAGTGAGTAGCGTAGCCAATCAGAGAATGGCATTCGTGATAGAACGCTAGTAGATTTATAATGGTAATGGAACTGAGTGGAGTGCAATTTGGTCTGAAATCATACGTGTGATTTCAAAATCGAGCGAGCGCGCAGCGTGAGTTCGATTTGAAATCGCAAGTGTGATTTCAGACCAAAATTGCACAACACAACGTTCAATTGCCACTTTATTAGATCCATTTTGAAATTGCACAATTTTATCGCCTTTAATTTTAGATCCAGTAGCCGGTTTGTTAAAAATAGCGGAACCAGAAACACCTTTACATCTCATTTAGTATGCCAAACGATGTCATGTGACGAAAATGCATTCGAGCATAACAAAGGAACAAGCAGTTGTGAAGTCAGAACGAAAACAGTCTCCTTCGTGCATAAAAGTTCAATTTTCGTCGCCTGAATCAATGATGGAAGGCCTTCCTTTCTTCTGTGGTTGAGGCTGAAACTTCTAGTTGTATTTGGAGAAGGAATTTGAAGGTGCAGCTACTGTAATTCTGCGATGGATTTCTTTTGAGTTATGAACTCCCTCAAGTGCCAGATGCCCAGTGGATAGTTTTTCTCTTTTAAATATCGTTCAATGGCACTCTGGGTGATTTTAAGGGATTCCAGCCTGTTATCATCTCCGTTTCTTTTTGTGACCTCGGCATAGACCTGTATACTCAGGACCTTGTCAAGTTCTTTGTTTCAAGATATTTTCAAGATGGCCGGACTGGCACCAGCCTCGGAAGACGTTCATTCATTCACTGTTTTGTGGAGCGGGGCATATTTTGACTATGTTTGTTCACAGCAACAGAGTTGAGCTCTTGCATTGCTTCGTTTGAAACTACCGGAAACCTGACGCATCTAACCTCTTGAGATGGCTATGAATTTGTTATTGTGTGGTTTTCGTTTGTTTGTGTTTTGCTGGATTCGGTATCATACGGATCTTGAGCATATGATCATGTTGAAGAAAAATCGCCAAAGTATTCGTCAAAATGGACTCTGAAAGTTGGAAACTTCACTTAAAGTAGGTCTTCATCCTGAAAGAGCTCGTAATCGTCATTCAGAACTGTAATTAATTAAATTCGTTAATTGTTTTGAAAAAAACACCACCAACAACAAAGTTTTTGGCAATAATAGTTGCAAAATTGCCCCCACAATGGATTTTTGTCTTTCATTTTCCTGAAATTTTATTGATTACCGTAAACTAACCTTGAAGTCTGATTGGTTATTTGGTTTTACTGTCCCATTCTCATTGGCTGTGAGAAAGATGCGATTTAGAGCAAAAAATAGTGCGATTCATGTATGTAGTGGGACTTCATGCTGTCCAATTTGGAAATAATTGGATGAAAAAAATTCCGAGGACAGCCAAAATTGGATGAGGCTGCAGGCCAAGTCCAATTTGGCTGTCAGAGGAATTTTTTGAATCCAATTATTTCCAAATTGGACAAGTATGTAGTCTTGTTACTTATTAATTATATAGCTCGTGACGTAATACAGCTTTGCAAGGAAAACTACAGTAACTGCCTCCGAAGAAAAACAGACTGGGCCCTCGATCTTCCGAAACATGGGAAAGCTTCGAAAATATCCGGTGATCTTCGGAGATCGCCGGAGATTGTCCCAAGTCTTCGGAAATCCTGGGAAGTGTTCGGATGATCTTCGGAAATCTTTGGAAGTGTTTGGGCGAATTTCAGAAATCCTCGAAAGTATTCAGGTGATCTTCGGAAGTCTGGAATTGTTTGGGGGATCTTCGGAAATCTTCGGGAGCGTTCGGGTGATCTTCGAAAATCTTCGGAAGGTTTCGTGTGGCCTTCGATAATCTTCGGAAGGTTAAGAGCCAGGCTCCCTAACATAAGCCGTGCATCCTTAGAGTAACACATTCACGTTAGATCGACTACGGCCGTTAAGTCTGCTCATCCAGTCCATTCAGATTTCAAAAGGTAAGCATGGCTTTGTTGTGGTATTGTAAATGATGCTGAATATAAAGTGTACCTTGATAGAGAGCATAACATTGATCATTAAAATTGGAAATGCCACTTCTCTCGCGATTCGAGGGTGTCTTCTTCACAGGCAGCGATGATCCCTAAAGCTACTTGATAAGGGAAGGTCAGGCAACACTTAGCTTAGTCGTGAACTGTACACAAGCAGTCTCAAATTGACACGACTTACTGAGAGTATAGCTTATGTTCTTATTTAGTGTAAATCTACTAACGTTCTATCACGAGTGCCGTTCTCTCATTGCTACGCTACTCACTGTCTACTCTGTCGTAGATGGCGATTAGCCTGGAAGTTTGCAAAATGGCGGCCTTTCCTTTTACGACCTTTTACGAAGTGTCTGTGAAGGGGATTAAGATAAACTTTTGAACGACTAGTAGATTTCTGGATTTCTAAGTGTCATAGTTGAGACAAGCTGCGCCCCCTTCAATTATCACGCGACAAAAACCTCTCAAAAGGAAAGTGTGATATTTGAGACAAGCTGCGCCCCCTTCAATTATCACGCGATAAAAATCTCGATCTCAATGATCTAATTGTTAAAAAGCTGGATATAGCACGTAACTTGGGTGTCTAACGTTGTTGTAGTGTTATGCTACAGAATTATACTACATCAAATCTAAACTACGTCATAATAACAGAGATATCTTGCGATATTCCGATGAACTCATCTAAACCTTAAAGAGGACGCTATAGATGGAATCTGAGTAAATGAAGTACTGGAGAAACTGAACACCGACTAGTCATGACCCCTGTACTGTCTTGCTGTTGGACACTGCTGAGAAATAGACATTCTAGTATTTCCATGGGAAACTGAATGATAATTTTAAAAAATAATGTGAGGGAACCTTCGCTTTGAATAAGACAGCCAGAAATGCAAATCTTTAGACGACCTCTTTCGTTATTTAGCATTTCCAATAGTACAACTGGCAGCCTGAAGTTGAGTTCTCCACTTGCTATATTGAATAGATGACAGGTCTTTTAGTCAACACGTGTAGGGTAGGGGTGGATGGAAAGGATGATCGCGTTGGTCCTTAGACATGCCGAGGGAGTACTTCAGTGACATTTGTTATCCAGTTATCCAAAGAACGGTGGCAGGGAAATCTGTTCGTACCTAATTTCGCACCGTACTTTCGTTTCGAGAGGTCGATCGCTCGACTAATTTCTTTCTAAAGCGTGACTTCAAGAGTGGATTCTGGGGGAGAACTCGTTTGACATCTCGGGGCGAACTCGAAAAATTTGTGTGCGAAACCTCCATAATTACATGTAAGTTATACATTTCATGTGCGCTTTGTTTTTCGGCATCTTCAAGATCTGTAACTATACACAGCGCGAGTCCAAGAGACGGGACTGGACTACAAGAAAAACTGTTTCGTGAGATTTATTTATGTATTTATTTTCAGAAAGATGAACGTGCTGTTGGCTGCATGTGGGATTGTCTTTCTGTTTTGCCTCTCTGTAGCTCTCCCTAGACCAGAAAACGGTAATTGGTATTTTAGTGTATAGAATTTATTCATATTTTAGTGTAGATATCTTAGTCTTCTCAGTTTTTTTTGTTTTGTAGTAGTCTGGTATGGGTTTCTTCGAGGTTACATGGCTTGACACTTAAATAAAGTTGTTGTTGTTGTTGTTGCTGTTGTTCTTCTTCTTCTTTTTCTTCTTCTTCTTCTTCTCGTCCTCAGTAATGTGTGCTTAGATGATGATGATGATGATGATGATGATGATGATGATGATGATTATTATTATTATGTTCGTAACCAAATGATGAAAGCTATTGAGCAAACCTTGATATAACTCTCTTGTCTATTTAACAATTATTCGAAGAGCGCGCGTTGGACATGAGATGGCACAGCCATCTCATATCCAACAAACACGAGTGGAATAATGGATTTATCATTTGATGAAAACTTTCCCAAAATATAGAAAACTAAAATAAAATAAAAATAAAAACGCCCTAAAAAATCATGCGTACGCTTACCACATTTGTTGAGCATGGTACGATGGCTAAGCAAATGAAAACATCATCCAATGATCCAGTTTTTAATAATTTTCATTTTGTACATATTCTCCAACTTACGCACTATATCACGTTTTTCATAGCCATGGAGACGCAAAGAATAGTAATACTGCTTATTACTTTGTAATTCAGTTCTATTATGTTTTTACAGTATCGCACCAGTGCGAAGATCATTTTCAGAACTGTACTTATCTGGCCTTAAGTGGCGCCTGCGCTAAAGACTCGGCATGGATGACTGCGCACTGTGGCATGTCCTGCAACTCATGTCAAGGTAAGTTTCTATTTCACAGTTTCCAGTTGGAGATCTACGTAAACCACTGGACTGGGAAAACCTGCTTAATTTATTTTACAGTAACCCTCCCTATCTTTTGACCATGTGTAGCCAGCCAGAATCCAAATAACTGCCAATTACTATATTTAATCGTACCATTTAGGCACGCGTCTGCGGCATATTAGGCGAGTTTGGGCGAGCCATGGTTCCTATTTTGGGGAGACGTACTCGAGCCGAAATACCCATGGCGAGACCAAACGAGCTTACGATCTTCCCCGCACCCAAATTCGAGCATGATATCGTAGCCATATCAGGTCAGTGACTTGATATCGTAGGATATCAGGACAGTATACAAGGCTTCTGATTGGCTAATTGCGAATATGGGTACGGTATCTTTACCCAGTTTTTCCTTTTAACCGAAATACACTGTCAAGCAAATAGCCATAGAAAGCGAGGGATCAGGTAAGTGATACTCTCTTGATGTTCGCAGTAAGGACAATTCATACTTCATGCTTGGGCTTGTTTAACCTTCCCACGCAGATCTCATTTATGATTTTGGCCTGTTAGAAAGATTGCGTGAGTGACGACCCAAAACAAGATCTGTACTGGAGGCTACTGTCTCTGTTATTTTCCTCAGGAACACCAACGTTTCCTGTGTGTGAAGACCGGCACAAATACTGCCCCTACTGGGCTTACGCTGGAGAGTGCAAAAAAACTTCTGCTTACATGTTGGTGAACTGTAAATACAGCTGTAACATTTGTGGAGGTAAGTACTGTCACGTGTATGCGAACATTACAATGAAGTGTGTTCAAAGAGGTAGTGCTTAAACTGAACTTTATATATATGTCTTTTTTAAATCTTTACTTCTTATCAGGAGGAAATGTTGCGGAGTGTCAAGACCAAGACTAGAAATGCTCTTCCCTTGCAAACAAAGGAGATTGTTTGCATAATGCCGCGTACATGTTGGTTAAATGCAGGAAAAGCTGCTTCATGTGTGGAGGTAGGAAATAAAGTTTAAGAAAAGTAAATGATTTGTAGTACATCCAGTTATATAATCTATGATTACTTGTAGGTCAATTATGACACTTCACAGTACGTTAACTCTTGCTATACTACACAGTTAAGTGTAAATACACACAATATGCTGAGTAAACAAATCAAAATACAAAAAAATGGCGGCAAAACCGAGAACGAAGTTGAAAAGAAAGAGATTATAATGTCTCATGATAACTAAGTGAAAAATAATCAAATTTAGCTGACTCGCCAAATTCCGGGCGTGACTGTGTTTGCATCATGTACGATGATTTTTTTCTTAATTTATTAATAGTAGAGTCATCAGCATGTCCGGACAAGAATGACCGCTGTACCTATCTCGCTTACAACGGTGATTGCCGTACAAAGCAAACCTACATGATGAAGTTCTGTCAAAAGAGCTGCACTAGATGTGAAGGTCAGCTGTCACTGTAACTTTTAACACATTGAGTGATTTTATTGCCTGGATAACTCGAGACTGGGGGGGGGGTGGAAACATCGTGTACATATTTTGAGGGTCGGTGGGGATGAAGGTTATATCGTTCTTAATACAGCTGAGTGTTAAAACGTCGAGTTCAAGTGGCTGTGAGTACTTAAGGAGTAATTTTGGGGTACAACTAAATGAAGCGTTCCGTTCTGCTGTATGTACTTATAGTGTCCCACAAATAATCCCATACGCGCTCGCGTGGCAACTTACGCTTCAGGCCATAACTCTTCCTCCAAATGGAGCTATTCACAAAGTATTTCACAAGACCTGTATAATTTTGAATTACTACAGGCGAATAACTTTGCGCACGAGAATTTTCCATTCTCCTCGCAGTTAGGCAACTCGAGATCAAATCGCTCTTGCACCAGCTGAACTTTATCCTTGGATTCCATTCCTTAATTCTCTTATCATTTCGTTACCCGCAGGTTGTACTGACAAACACAAGTATTGTTCCTTTTGGGCTGCAAAAGGCGAGTGTGAAAAAAATCCTGGTTACATGAAGTTCTACTGCCAAAAGAGTTGCGACATCTGCCAAGGTATTTGTTTCATTTCTTTGATTTGTATTTGATTTGTATTGTTGGAGAGGCTCGTGATTTGCCGTCAGAGGTCAGCGTGGACAGTTCATTCACGTAGATAGACCTAACCTTACCAGCATCTGTGCTGAGACCGCAATATTGAATAACACTTGGCTGTTGGGCAGCATTCGTCTTTCAAACAGTCTTCAAATCCATATTACCATTACTATTTAGCGCACGTTACGTGTCATTATACAAAAAGAGTGTTGTGTTCGCTTTATAGGAAGTGTAAGATTTTGTTTCACATTCGATTGGTCTCGGTTCCTTCAACCGCCTGTTATCTCTTTTATGAAATAAATCTGCTTCTTATTATCATTGTTGTCACTTATTTATGCATTTTTCTTTCACA